ACATACAGAAGAGCGCCCACAATACTCCTATATTCGCGAGCATTAGACATTAGATCACTCGGTTGACCATCAATCTTCGTGGCCACCATGGGGGTACACACAGATGTGGCTTGACTCATGTTGGTTTTCTTCAGTAATTCACATATGTAGGCACGTTGACTTAACAGCAGTCCAACACCAACCTTCTTGACCTCTATTCCCAGAAAATATGAGAGTTCACCAAGGTCCTTAAGTGAGAACCGTAGGCTAAGCAACTGAACGACCTGATCAATAGCTGAACCCGACATCCCGGTGATGATGATATCATCTACATACACCAAAGCATAAGTACTGCAATCGTCCTGGACTCGAACAAACAGAGAGACATCAGCCTTCGATTCCACAAACCCAAGCTCTAAGAAGCAAGCTTTAAGCTTGTCATTCCAGTTCCGAGGAGCTTGTCGAAGGCCATAGAGGGCCTTCTGCAGCTTACAAACCAGTGGAGTTCCATCTTCAGCACATCTCTCAAATCCAGGTGGTTGATGCATGTATACCACTTCGCTCAAGTCACCATTCAAGAATGCATTGTTGACATCCACCTGTCTCAACGCCCAGCCTCTTGCAACTGCCAAGGCGAGAAGAACATAGACTGTGGAGAACTTTACAACAGGGCTGAACGTGTTTGTGAAATCGAACCTTGGAACTTGAGTGAACCCTTTTGCCACCAACCGCGCCTTGTATCTATGCATAGTGCCATCTGGATTTCTTTTAATCTTAAACAACCATTTACAACCGACCACACTTCTATCAGCATGCAGAGGAACAAGGCTCCATGTGTCATTCTTAATCAACGCAGAATATTCATCTTGCACCGCTTCAGACCACGGGCCAGACTGAAGTGCTTCTTCAATCGTTGCTGGAACAATATCATCAAAAAACGTGGTGTATATTTTTGGTCTAAACACACCACACTTACTTCTAGTCAACATAGGGTGCCCAGTACCAACCACATCACTCGTTCTTTCATCTATCGATGGTTGCACTTCCAGGTTGACTTCACCAGCACCAGGTCCGACAGATGTAGCAGTAGACTCATGGACATCACTCGACTGTGCAGAACCGTGCCCAGAAGCATCTGCAGACAAGTCAGCAAGTCCCGACTGTCGAGCAGAAGTAGCACACAATTTGCTAGCATCAGCTACTATGTCAATGGCTTGGCTCAGCTGCGAACGAACTCCCAACCGTTCAGTAGAACTGTGCTGAGCAAATGGGAAGCACCACTCATCAAATTTCACGTATCGAGACACTACAACTCGTTTATTAGGTGTGAGACATAAGTAACCCCTGTGTTGAGGACTTGGCCCCAAAAACGTGCACGGTTGCGACCGAAAGTCAAGCTTATGACTGTTGAACGGTCTTAGGTGGGGGAAGCATTGACATCCAAATACTTTAAGCGAGCCATATTCAGGCGTCTTGTTGAACAAACACTCGAAGGGGGACTTTCTAGCTAAAACCCTCGTAGGCAACCCGTTAATTAAGTGAACTGATGTTACCACAGCATAGGACCAATAGCTGATCGGCATGGACGCCTGCGCAAGTAGTACTAAAGCCAGTTCAACCACATGGCGGTGTTTGCGCTCCACGACACCATTCTTCTCTGACGTGTGTGGGCAGGTAACACGATGAGATACACCAGCTTCTGCAAGCACACGCGACAGCCGACGATATTCACCGCCCCAATCGCTTTGTACTGCCAGGACTTTCAACCCAAATTGCGTTGCAACGAACTGCTGAAATAGGAGGAAGGCCTGTGTAGCCTGAGACTTATCCTTAAGCAAATACAACCACGTGTGTCGAGTGAAAGCATCAACAAAACTGACATAATACCTAAACCCGTTTGAAATAACAGGCGATGGTCCCCAAAGATCAGAAAAAATAAGCTAAAAAGGAAAGTCATACTTAGTAGTTGAATCCGTGAAGGGGAGTTTGTGACTTTTTCCCATATGACAAGCAATACAACTCTCATTAATCTTTTGTTCACAGTTTACATCAATGAGCTTGCAAATTTGCTCGAGAGTGGCATGAGCAGGGTTCCCAAGACGCCTATGCCACAAGTCATACAAATGATTGGAGGAATCGACTTTATTTGCTACAAAATAAGTACTCTTATTACAACTATCATCAACTTGAAACAGATACAAACCATCATTCTCCTTTCCATGCAGCAATACATCACCAGTAGCTTCATCACGAACACAGCAGCGTGATGCATGGAATTCAAAGTACACCGCGTTATCCTTAGCAAGCTTCGAGACGGATAGAAGATTTTTAGTTACCTTAGGTACATGAAGAAGATCATTTAATTGTAAAGCTCGAGTAGAAGAGCACAAAACAGATTTACCAGTAGCTTGAATTGGCAGTAAACTACCATTACCAACCAGCAATTTACCTGGTCCTGAGAACTCTTTTGAGTTGAAGACCTTGGTTGAATCAGCAGTCACGTGGTGCGTAGCTCCAGAGTCTAGCACCCAGTGATCCCTCGTGCTAGAAGCGATATGACTTTGCGGCTGTGACGAGTAAGCGCATTCATCAAGAGTAGACGGTTCTAGGCTGGTGCAGTTCACTGAACCCGAACCACCACGGCTTACAGCTCTCTCAGCCGACCGACCAGTAAATGACTGATCGAACCTGTACCAGCAGTCAACGACAAGATGCCCATTTTCCCCACATAATTGACATTGAACACGAGGTCGACCACGGCCCCGACCTCCAGTCCGACCTCCAGCGCTGGTTCCAGACCTGCCAGAAGCCCGATCATGATACACGTGACTTGCAGTCTTCAAGCTAGAGTCAGACTGAACAACGTGAGCACTCATTGGCAGAAGTTCTTCTTGAGCGTCAAAGCCCGCAAGCTGTGTTTCTGCATCGATCAACATCGAGCAGACCCTATCGAGGGATAAGGCGTCTTTCATAGTGGTGATGAAGGCAATATACGGGTGGTACTCTCGGGGAAGACCTTTGAGAATACTTGCAACCTGTTCGGCCGGAGGAATCGCACTGTCACAGGAATCTAAAGCATCGCACACCTCTTTGATGCGAGTGAGGTACATTCGCATGCTGTCACTGCCTTTCTTGAGTGACTGAAGCTTGTAATGCAGGCTGATGACCGCCGTGGTTGACCGGTTCGCGAAGAACTGCAACACCTTGCTCCAGACCGCCGCTGCCGTCTTCGCTCCAACAAACTGGGACAGCAAGTGTGGGCTGATCGTGGACAATAACCAGGAAGCAAGCGTACTATCTTGTGCAACAAACTCCTCATGCAACTCATTCACCACCGTATCACCATTCTCAGCCTCAATTGTCTCAGGAGGAGAACGTGCCACGCCTGTTAGTAACCGCTCCAGCCTATGGCTGCGCACAGTCAGCAAGATTTGCTGTTTCCAGAGTAGGAAATTAGCTTCATCGAGAATTATGTTAACTTTTTGTTTGTGAAGGTCTTTGCAACAGAAGTCTCCATGATCACGAGCTTAGCACAGCAAGCAAGAATCCTCAGAAACGTCCGGCTCTGATACCATATGAAGCAAATTAAGAATTGCAGAAAACAAACTAACATAAACAAGGAAGAGAGGCATTTTCTTTATTGATATGACTTCCGTTTCTTCACCTTTACACTTGACATTTATAGCTCAATTATAACAACCTCTTAACAAACTAACCACCCTAAACCGTTTCCTAACAGCTTCCCTATGATGGCTAGCTACATGCATGACCATTTACATGCATGACATGCACGAGTATTCTAGATTATTCTAGCTCACGTGCACACACAGCTTATACCTATCTCAACAGAAGATGTAAGACACAAAGCTGTTGATAAAGTCTAGGAAGATATCCCTCAATGCTTCTAATCTTTGATGGAACAATTCCATCAATACATTCCATCGGTGTGTGTTTTTTAGTAGAAAGATTAGTGCAACTCAATAAAAAATGAAATGAAATGAAGAGATTATTCGAATTTCGAAATGAAATTTGCTCGAAAATTCTTACATGCTATGGTTGGTGTCCAAATTGATGCAAATGGAGTATCCCCAAGACAATCCAAATCCCATTGATAGCTTTTGATACATCTCCAAAGTAGGCAAGCCGGTGATGTTGTGGAGTATAACTGGGACATGAGCTGTGACTGTGCGAAATGGACTGAAATCGAGTGGCATCGTTCCTTCATTTAAAAAGTAGAGATACGAAGAAGGTGGATCATGGGCGGAAGAGCTCTTGGAACAGTGAGAGGCGCCGACATATTGCGATCGGCATTGTGCAGTTGACACAAGATACATATATAATGCTGAAAGGATAATCTTTATAGTATCCGGCATACGACATCAGGCATGGATGGAGCACATCGGAAGGGCTTCCAGGAAGCGAGCAGCTACCACTTGCCAGATTCGCATCAACAAGTTGGATTGTCGTAAGCTATGTCTTGAACAAGGAAGTTTCCATTTATCAACCTCAAAATCGTACGGTTATCTTTCTCATCACAGTCCAGTTGGAAGATGGCGTTGCCGCAGTTTGGGGGGGGGGGGTTGAGTTTTTAAACGAAAAGGGTAGCGGATGCTAATGTTTCCGCACGTTGTAAGGGCGCAATCGTTGGTTGTGGCCCTACCTGCACTTGCTTGTGGGTTTACAAGTAAAGCAATGGCGGCCAAGAGGCTAAACATCGGAAGATGGGGTTTTGGTTCATGCATTCTGAAAGCACAAGAAATGAATGAAACAGACTAGTTTTTATAGGAAAGGGAATATGGGCTGAACAAGTTGGCCATAATTATCATTTCAAGATTCAAAGTCAATAGGGAACACTTTCTTCTGACTGAAACTGAAACTTGGTTATATACAAGTATTACATTCTCTTTACGCTATGTCCTAGCCGCTTCCAGTCTGTATTTATCATGACAATAATTCAAAAGAGGGAACACAAAGAACTGGTAAACAATAATTAATACAGCACTTTTATTTGAAACGGAGATCAAAGAACAACATATTACGATGCGAATGTATATAAAAGAAGAACAAATTAGAATGGTTAAATCCCTTGACAATTATTCATGCAAACAAAGAGAAATTGGGGGCATTTTCCTCATCTCCTTTGGAAGTTAAGGAACTTGATTCCATATGCAAAGACAAATAAGAACAGAAGCACCCATCCAATATGAGCTGCAATAATGGCTGGAAGGAAATCATACTTGAACCCCAAGTGTGTCTCAAGGTAAGCCTTCACTGTCATTTGTGTTTCTTCTGTTATCACAACAGGATCAACTTTATCACCCACTTGGGATGTCACAAGTCCATTGATTGTCCATGCCACTGGTGAAGCCCAATAATACCACCTCCACCATATTGGAATTTCCTGCAAATATTCGATTCGTCCACTTCATTTTCATGTATTTTTTATAATCTTAAGACGTGGTATCGATTTGATCTTATGGTACGTACGGTTCGGGGGATGAGGAAACCAGAGAAGAGGTTCCAAAAGCTTAGGAAGAAGGACATGACAATGGCAGCAAATTGATGGTTAGGTGTAAGAGCTACAAGCATCATCCCATACAGTGTGAAGTACATGAAGCACATCAATATGAAGTAGTAGAACAAGAAGAACTTCCCCATGTTCATCTGGAATCCGATCATCGAGTAAAGTAATAAGCTGTACATCAATGTCTGGATCGAAACATAGATTGCCTCTATTGCTACCTGAAAACCATATGAACTTGAGTCATGATTTTCTCTGTTGAATTTGTTTTATATTGAGAGGTTTCGGTTTCTCTTTTTACCTGAGCAAAAGCATAAGGCAATGGTGAATACATTCCGGCTGCTCTTTCGCGATAAAAGACTGTTCTTTCGATTGCCACGATGGATTGCACAGCTGAAGTGTTGGTGGCTCCTAGGAAAAGGACAGCAGAGTACATAGCTCCCAACAGGTTCATTAGATCTTGCTCCTTGTGTCTATTTAAAAAATGGTTTACAAAATTGATTCCATATGCAAAGACAATTAAGAAAACTACCAAAATGATAAGTAAATACAAATTTTTGGACTCACATCTTATCTCCTTTGTCCCAAAAAATCATTCCGAATATGATACCGACGAAAAACGTCATGAAGAATCGAATGGCATTGTATTGTGGGTTCCTCCAATACGAATTGTACTGCTTCCAGAAGCAGGCTTTGCATTGAGTAAAGAAGTCTTGAGAGTATGTAGTGGGGAAGTGAAGGTCCTTAGTTCCAGGGACAGGGGTGCTTAAATCTTTGATAAGTTCCTCATTTTTCCTGATACATTACCAACATTTCATATTTGGTAGAAATAAAAATGGAGGTGAAAATTATGTAGTATTTTCAGTTCCCGTTACCTATAAAGCTCAGATTTGAAATAAATCTCACTAAAATCGACATCGAGTTGAGCCTCGACAGCAGTGGAACTAATTTCCAGCATCCATGTTGCAGGGTTGTAACCTTCTTTGATCTTGGGAACTCCAGCAACAGCCTACAGAAAGTTTTTAGACATAAGTTACAGTCGAAACCTCCAAGAATTCTAACACAATGCGGTTCAAGATTGATTTTTACTTCGAAATATTCGACAAGTTTGTGAGAATGGCGACCAAGAGGTCCAGCATAAATGACTTGTCCACCCCTTTTCATCAGGAATAGCTGCAATAAAAACGGGAATCCATTAAGCAAATACATTAGGATCTGAAGGTTTTCCGAGGCCGAAAATATAAGAATACCTCATCAAAGGCTTCAAAAATGTCTATGCTAGGTTGGTGAATGGTGCAGACCACAGTTCTTCCTGTATCCACTGTATTTCTCACTGTACGCATGACAATAGCAGCTGCTCTGGCATCGAGGCCAGATGTTGGCTCATCCATGAAGATGATTGATGGATTAGCAACTAATTCTACAGCTATTGTGAGCCTTTTCCTTTGTTCAGTCGAGAGGCCATCGACTCCGGGAAGGCCAACGAGAGAGTTCTTGAGAGGATTTAGCTCTACTAACTCCATTACTTCTTCAACAAACATCTGTTGCGCAAATGAATACAGCACTAATGTTTCTTTCGTTTTAAGATGCAGCTAGACATAGTATATGAAATTTAGTAATAAAGATCCGGATTAAAAGAACATGCCTTTTGCGTGTCTGCATTAACATCCTTGGCAAGACGAAGCCAGGCAGAGTACACGAGAGATTCGTAGACAGTAACATGTGGAGAATGGATATCATTCTGTTCACAGTAACCGGTAACCCGAGCAAAAGTTTGTTGGTTCTTTGGGTAACCAGAAATGCTGATACTTCCTTCGATATAGCCACCGGTTTTTCTTCCTGCTAAAACATCCATCAAGGTGGTCTTTCCTGCTCCACTAACCCCAACCAATGCTGTTAGCACACCAGGCCTAAAAGCACCACTTACGTCTCGTAATAATTGAAGACGATTCTCTTCGATTCCTTGGCTCTTCATTTCCTGTGTAGGAAACCAAAGTTTACCACCAATTTATATTCATATTCTTTTATCTTTCGGTAAAGGGTAAAAATTTGGATAAGGGACTCACAGCAGGCATGTCAACATAATAATTCACATGGTCAAATGCAAGTGACAAGGGTTGGAAAGGTAACACCATTCCTCTCTTTGAAGGTGCTTGGTTTGCAGCACTAAGAACCGAGTTGTCGAGATTATTATTCAGTGCCATATCGGTCAATGGTGAACTCATTTCTATGGACTTTAAGTTAGGCTGTGCATCGGAAGACGACTGCTTCTTGCTCTCATCGTCTTCTTCCATAGTAACAGCTTTGGAATCTCCCAGAGCTGCATTTGGTGTCGAAAAGTACTTTTAAAACTGGAAACCAACACTTTGGTAATGGATATCAGCATGAGCTTTTAGTAGCTTACGGTTCAAGTAGGTCAATGCGGCAATAAAACAGAGATTAAAAAGCAGAGAAAATCCAAGTAGTGCTGCAACACAAATCCAATACCAAAACTCTTCTGTATACATGCCTCTGGATTTGAGAAGAACCTTCCCTACGGTGCTGGAGTATAATGGCTGAAATGGAAATGTAAGGGAAAAATATCAAGATAAGCCAATAACATCTATGCAATAATAGAGACACTTTGTGCATGTTCTTAGGAAATCTTACAGCACTCCATCTTTTATCAAGAAACTCGGTAATGACAATGGCATTTTGTCCATAGGACATCGGGGAGATGTAGTATCCCCATATCATCCATGGCTTGATGTCATCTGCAAAAGGAGATTAATAATATCAGAAATGATAAACAGAACCGGAGTATTGGTATCTTTCGTTATCATTCATGGAACCATAAACAAATGCTTTGGATAAGCGAACCATTCATTTCTGCTGGAGAGAAGTGAAACAAAATTAAATACAGAAGTGATAACCTTTGGCAACAACAAATCCGCCGAGTACAAAAACCACCAGCAGAGTAAATGTTCCGAGTGTGTTTGCCACAACCTGTGTTCTACCGACTGCAGCGATGAATCGAAAGAGAGAGAGGGCCATTTGGTGAATGCCGAAGAACGCCAAGAATTGCCGAAAGAACCTGAAACGTTGTTGATGTGCAAATGAATAGGATTGTAGATTGACATAGCTCATAAGTAGGAAAATGGAAACTACAATTCTATTGCATTTTCCATACCTGCTAGCAGATGGGGCAAAACCAATGGTGTAATATGTGAGGATGATCCATATCCCAGACTCTACCAAAGAGAGGGGGATCCTAAGGACCCAAATCGGCAATGCGAAGGCCCATGCCGGATAGAACAAGAAATCCCTTTGCTTGAAGAAAACTGGAAGCCTAAATATGGTAAGTGCAAGCTCCGCCATCCCATTGAACATGACATTAATGAGACTAAAGAAGAGTGCACCATAAAATTTTGTTCCATTTGTTATATGACCAGCTTCCATTTTGGTCCTGAAGAACACTGTGAAAGCAATGACAGACATAATGGTAATCTGTGTGGTCTTGAATATGTATACGAAAGAGTTGCGCTTCATCAGTAGCCATTCTCTCGCAAAACAAGCCTTGAAAAGTTCCAAGTTTGAGATTCCATACTTTTCTTTCACCAATGCAGCTTGATGAGCTCCGGACTTATCATAAGGTATCCGGAGTTCATCATCGAGCTTTCGACCTACATGGAAAGAATTGAAATGTTCCACGAACTTTGGTACTGATACGTACCGGTAAGGTTCGTTTTCTCTACACCAATACTGCTGCTGGTCTTTCCTGGAAGTCACCTCTTGTAAGAAATCTGCAATTCCTTTCCTGTTGGGGCATTTGAATCCCACGCTTTCGAAGAACTCGAGAACATGTTCTCGAGGTCCTTGATACACTATCTTACCCTCAGAAAGCAAGATAATGTCATCAAAAAGGTCATAGGTTTCGGGTGCAGGTTGCAAAAGAGAGATTACCATAGTTACATCCATGATATGAACCATCTGCTTCATAAACCTTACAATCTGAAAAGTTGTGGAACTATCCAAACCGGTTGAAATCTCATCCATGAAAAGAGCTTTGGCCGGTCCGACCAACATTTCCCCTGCATTTTGTACAACAATTTCATTTTAGGCCTTTCTTTCCAATTGAAATGCAAACAACAAGAACTTTTACACATGATATACCTGTGGTCACACGTTTCTTTTGTCCACCAGATATGCCCCTTCTCATGTCATCACCCACCATAATATCAGAACAGATATCCAGTCCAAGAATCTATCATCACATCATAGAATTAAAAAGTTAAATCTTTAGAACTTTGTTGCTCGGAATTGAAGTATTTGTGTCCGACACTCTGTCTCAAGTCCGAGAAACACGCACGACGGGGACTAAACGACTAGAAAGCAGTAAAAGAGTGTACAAACCTTGAGCACATAATCGGTAACCAGGCTAGTGTTTTGGCCAGCCATGGCAGTAGCTTTCATGAAAGCATCAATCTCAGGGTCCGGTTTAATGCCGGCCTGTTTTTCTCGCCTTGATAACTCAGCCAAGAGTTCGTATCGTGTCCCAACTCCCAAGCACCGTCCTGAGAAATCTAATGTTTCCCTTACAGTCATCTCACCATGGTGAAGATCATGCTGGCTTATATAAGCACTTGTTCTTTGAGGGATGAATTCTTGAAATTCATGGCCGCAATATGTTATTTTTCCTGATACCCTTAAATCGGTATCGGTTTTCCCTGCAAGTGCCTGCAATAGTGTAGTTTTTCCAGACCCCGGAGGTCCTAAAAGCAGCGTCATCCTATGTGAAAGAAAGAGAAAAAAAAAGTTGAATTGCCGAGAAAATGCGAGAAAATAAACATGCTCATGGTCAAGCAACATATACCTGGATGGTTTCACTATTCCACTGACATCACGAAGTATATTAACCACTCTTTTCTTAGAGGGGAAAAGCTTGATTAATCCAAGAACTCCCTGTTTTGTTTTACCATAATGTTAATTCAAAACTAAGAACTTGAAACATATATGCAATTAAGGAAGAATTTTGAATCACCTCAATAGTGTTTAACGTGGAATTCAGCAAAGTTGGGAGAGCCCTTGTTCCAAGATAAGCATCTCCTTCTATGGATAAATGCTCGAATCGAACATCAATTTTTGGAACATCAATTCCCACCCTATCAGTTCTCTCTCGAAGTCTTAGAAGAAACCTCTCGTTATCTTCTTCGGCAACTCTAAGTACACTTTCCATGATGTTCTTCTTGTTGTTCATGTCGAGATTCGTGATGTCGACTTGTTCGTATCCGATCTTTCCTTCGTCCAGAACATTCTTCAGTATCGCTTGTCGGATACGATCGTAGGTCGGAAGCCTTTCGATGGCGGCCCATTTGAGCTCCTCTTCGTCTTCTTCCCTCCCGCTTCGTTGGAAAACATCAGTTTGATTGTTCCATGCCTCTCGGATACTACCCGAGGCCCAACCTCTTTTGCTTGCGGATGCCAAACTCATGTTCCTCCGGCTCATCGATCGGGCATTGCTCATCGACCGGACTAGGTCGTCTCCTGCCAATGCCGAGGCCATGATCGTTGCCTTTCTTCTTTGCTGCTATGTGATTAACGTTTGACAAATCAAACATCCAAAAGAAGTAAAGATGCAGGGTGGATTGTGAGGTGGTACAACGCATGGTTTATGTAGCTGAAGATCGTTACAAGGAGAGTGTTGCGCTGACAGAAAATGGCATCCCAGAGTTCCAAGATAGATGAAATTTTTTACATGTATTTATTCCGATTTTTGTTATCTTTCTCTTTCAGTATTCAGAAACCATGGAATTTCATGATTGTATCACCAAATCATCCACGTCACTACTTTAATTAAATTATTTTAAATTATTAATGTGTAATTATTAACTTTTATGCCTTGAATATATATGGTTATAAACTATATTCTCATCGGATAAATATATTAGATTAATTCCATTATTTAAGTGTATAAAAGATAAAATTGGTAAATTCACGTTTAATTTATTAAAATCTTGATGGTATAAAAAATTATATTAAAATTAATGTGATTTCACTCAAGTCTAAATATATTATAGTATGAGGTTGTCTAATAAGACAGACAACGAGTTAGGTTGGATCAAGTTTTTAATCAATTCGATCTTATTGGAAAACCATCTGAATTTGATCATACTCGAAAAATATATACACTCCACCTGACTCAACTTAATATAAAATAAGAATTTAATTAAAAAAACAATAAAGAGAGGGCATTATAGTAATTATCCATAAATGTATTAAAGAAATTATACTATTATCTCCCGATCATATCAATATTTTTTCACTGTCCATCCTGTCAAGCATTGCAGGAAATACAAAGCTTAGAAATCAAAGGAAGAAAAAAAGAAAGCATCTTATTGAATTAACTTGCTTTACACATCACCTATGCCTATTACTTATAGCTCACTTACAACAACCTCTAACAACTTAACAACCTTTAACTAACTACATCCATCATCATCCTCTCAATTCACATGCATGAAATGCATGAAATGCTTTAACCCACGTGCATGTGCTACCTAAGGTATCTCAACATTCTCTCCACTTCTTTTTCTTCTCTTCTCTAACAAGGCAACACTTGCAGTTTTTCTCGAAACTACTCAAACGCTGGCTTGGTTAGACCATCGGCCACCTGGAACCCAGCAGGAACATATCTAACTCGAAGCGCACCAGCTGCAATCTTCTCACGAGCAAAGTGTACATCCAGTTCAATATGCTTATGCTTGGGTCGAGCATGACACACCGGATTCACGCTCAAGGCAACAACACTCGTGTTGTCACACCAAATAACATGTGTATCCTGCAAAGACAAACCAAGATCACAAAGTAACGCAATAAGCCAAGTAACTTATGCAGCAAAGTCAGGAACACTCCTGTACTCAACTTCCATTGTTGAACGAGAAATAGTTTTATGCTTCTTTGAATTCCACACAACCAAACATTCTCCAAGGAAAACACAATACCCAAACATAGACCTGCGATCACTAGCATCACCAGCCCAGTCAGCATTCGGGAAGGCTTTGACACATAACCTGGCATCACCTTTTGAAAACACTAACCCATAATCAAGTGAACCTGCCAAGTAATACAGGATACGTTTGACTTCCACAAAATGAACTGTTCGTGGAGATTGCATGAACTGAGCCGCTTTATTAACTGCAAACGCTATATTTAGTCGAGTATGAAAAACATATAAGAGAGCCCCCACAACACCGCGATACTCTTGAGCATTTTTCATTAGATCACTAGCCAGGTCAGTAACTTTTGCAGTAACCATCAGAGTGCACACATGCGTTGCTTGACTCATGTTAGTCTTCTTCAACAGCTCGCATATGTAAGTATGATGACTCAACATCAAACCAGTACCAATCCTCTTAACTTCAATTCCCAGAAAATATGACAGCTCACCTAGATCTTTAAGTGAAAACTGAGTACTAAGCATATGAATGACCTGATCAACAGATGTAACCGAGGTTCCTGTGATGATAATGTCATCTATATACATTAAAACATATATACAGAATTCGTCTTGAACTCTAACGAACAACAACACATATGCTTTTGACTCAACAAACCCTAGCTCCAAAAAATTGGCTTTAAGCTTTTCATTCCAGTTACGTGGTGCTTGGCGAAGGCCATAGAGTGCCTTCTGTAGCTTACACACTAGTGGAGTACTATTTGCAACACAACGTTCGAACCCAGGAGACTGCTGCATATACACCTCTTCGCTCAAATCACCATTTAAGAATACATTGTTGACATCAACCTGTCTCAAGACTAGTCACTTGTAACAACCATGGTTAAAAGCACATACACGGTTGAAAACTTTACAACTAGGCTAAAGTGTTCTTGAAATCAAGCCCAGAAACTTGTGTGAACCCTTTTGCAACCAGTCGAGCCTTGTACCTATGCACATACCCGTCCAGATTTTGTTTAAGTTTAAGCAGCCACTTACATCCCAGCACATTCCTGTCAGCAGGTAGGGGAACAAGAACCCACGTGTCATTTTGAATTAACGTTGAATATTCAGCATGAATTGCATCAGTCCATGGAATTGACTGAAGAGCTTCTTCAACAGTTGATGGCACAACATCATCAAAAAATGTAGTGTAAACTTTTGGTTTAAACACTCCACACTTACTCCTAGTCAACATAGGGTGACTATTAGCAACTGCAGTCCCTGTCCTGTCATCAGGTAGTGGTTGCGTCTCCATAGCAACCTCAGGAACATCAGGCACAACAACAGACCCATTATCTAAACCAGATCGTGCAGAGCATTGTTTAGGAGTATCTACAAACAGGTCAGTATCATCTGGCTCTTGAACAACACCAGTATGCAGCTTGTTAACATCCACCACTATGTCAAGAGACCTGTTCAACTGCGAAACAATTCCCGATTGTCTAACAGACTTATCACCAGCAAATGGGAAACACCATTCATCAAACTTCACATGACGAGAAATTATTACAAGTTTATCAAGTGTTAGATAGAGAAACCCTTTGTGTTGAGGGCTAGTACCCAAGAACGTGCATGGCTGATATCCAAAATCGAGCTTATGACTGTTGAACGATCATAGATGAGGAAAGCATCGACACCCAAACACCTTAAGTGTGCCATAATCAGGTTTCTTACTGAACATACACTCAAAAGGAGGCTTCCAGCTAGTACCTTCGAGGGTAATTTTTTGATCAAATGAATAGCCATAACCATTGCGTTTGACCAGTAGTTGATTGGCATGGAGGCCTGTGCGAGCAGAACTAAAGCAAGCTCAACTACATGCCTGTGTTTATGTTCCACTACACCATTTTGTTCTGACGTATGTGGACATGTAACACGATGAGAAATACCAGCTTCAGTGAGCATACGAAACAACCAACGATACTCACCTCCCTAGTCACTTTGAACAACCAAAATTTTCAGCCCAAATTGTGTTATCACAAATTGCTGAAAAAGTTGAAATGCCTGAGTAGCTTGAGACTTATCTTTAAGTAGATACATCCATGTATGTCGAGTGCAAGCATCTACAAAGCTAACATAATATTTATAGCCATTTGAAACAACAGGAGATGACCCCCATAGATCAGTAAAAACAAGCTGGAAATGTGACTTATACATAGTAGTTGAATCAAAGAAGGGAAATTTATGACTCTTTCCCATACGAAAAGCAACACAAATTTCATTAACCTTTTGTTCAACATTTACATCAATTAGTTTGCATATTTGCTCAAGGGTTCCATGAGCATGATGCCCAAGGCGCCTATGTTATAGGTCATACAAACGATGTGAAGCAACAACACTATTAGCTTCAAAACAAACACTCTTATTATTATTATCAACGACTTGAAACAAGTATAGCCCATACTTCTCATGTCCTTACAGCAACACCTCACCAATGTCTTTATCACGAACACAGCAGCGCAATGCATGAAATTCAAATACACCTCATTGTCCCTAGCAAGCTTCGAGATCGAGAGAATATTTTTAGTTATCTTAAGTACATGAAGAAGGTGATTCAACATCAATGCTCGAGAATAATAACATAAAACAGATTTTCCAATGGATCTAATAGGGAGTAAACCTCCATTACTAACAACGAGTTTACCTAGTCCTTAGAAATCCTTTTGATTAATATTCTTAGCTGAATCAGATGTTACATGATGTGTAGCCCCAGAATCAACCACCCAGTGATCCCTCGTGCTAGTGGCAATATGGCTCTACGGCTATGAAGAATAGCAGACCTGAAACTCAGCACGAGCTTTTGTACAACACGTGCAATCATCCATATCAGCAGGGGCTGACTCCAAACTAGAGTAGTTTACAAATCCTGAATCACCACAAGTTACAGCACGATTAGTCTATCTACCAGTAAACGCTTGATTGAACTTGTACCAACAATCAACAGCCAGATGCCCATTTTTCCCACACAACTGGACCTCCAACTCGACCTCCAGCACTAGATCCTGACGGCCCAGAGGAACGATCATGAAAGCCATAACCTGAAGTCTTTAAACTAGGACCAGACTGAGCCATATGAGCACTCATTGGAAGAGAATCTTCTAGGGAATCAAACCCATCAAGTTGAGTTTCTGCATCGATCAACATCAAACAGATCTTATCAAGAGATAAACCATCTTTCATGGTGGTTATGAACTCTATATAAGGTTGATACTTTCGGGGAAGACCTTTTAATATGCTTGCAACATGCTCGGCCTGAGGAATTGCACTGTCACACGGGTGTAACTCATAACAAACTTCTTTGATGCGAGTAAAATACGTACGCATGTTATCACTTCTTTTCTTGAGAGACTGAAGTTTGTAGTGAAGGCTGATAACCATTGTGGTAGATCGGTTCGCAAAGAATTGCAACACCGTACTCCAGACCGCCGATGCCGTCTCTGCTCCAACAATCTGGGACAACAAATGATGGTTGATCGTGGATAGTAACCAAGTAGCCAGTGTACTGTCTTGTGCAACAAACTCTTCATGCAATTCATTTGCCACCGTGTCACCATTCTCATCCTCCACTGTTGTAGGAGGGGGACAAGCAGCTCCGGTTAGCAACCGTTCCAGTTGATGACTTCGAACAGTCAGTAGGACTTGCTTCTTCCAAAGTAGAAAGTTAGACTCATCAAGAATGATGTTAACCTTCTTGTTTGTGAAGGTCTTGCCCGCAAAAAACTCCATGAACAAGAGTATAGCACAGCACATAGGAGAGACCTCTGGAACATCCAGCGAATGATACCATGTCAAGCATTGTAGGAAATGCAAAGCTTAGAAATCACAGGAAGAAAACAAGAAAGCATCTTATTGAATTAACTTGCTTTACACATCACTTATGCCTATTACGTATAGCTCACTTACAACAACCTATAACAACCTTTAAATTGTTTCCTAACAACCTTCACATGCTGACTAAATACATCCATCATCAGCATCTCAACTCACATGCATGAAATGCTTTAACCCACGCGCATGAGCTACCTAAGGTATCTCAACACATCCAAACTCTACTCAACTTGAGTGAACTCGAAACTTTTTCCTAAAAAAATTAATTTTATCAAATTAAATCAAATTAAAATCCGTCAGTTTTGAATTAAAAAACCGTCATGAGGCCTAGCAGGATAGCCAGAAATGGAAATTTCTTCCTAGGATTAGATTCGAAGCTTATTGAATGCCATGTTTTAACGGTTATTCCAGGAGATATTTGTTGTCTTTTTGTCTACAACCGGCAGGGACACTATTATTTGGATTATTATCAAATAGCCCCCAAAAAAGGTAGCATTAATATGCAAAGAAAATTATTATTATTTAAAACATTATATTTTTTCACAAATAATTTTAATCCAATTTCAGTAAATATTGATTTAAATACTAATTAAAATAGGTAGAAAAAATATCTATCATTAGTGTATCAAATGACTTTTTGACAAAAATATTTAACATGATTCTAATATGAATTTTTTTATAAAATACCAAATAATAATACCTATTATTTATGAAGTTAAACTTTGAGCTGTTGTAGGATTCAAAAGAACAACAAAGCATTCCATATTTTCTACAAGTATTTCTTAGGTTGATTGCTTAATTTATTAACTCGTTGAATATTTTTGATCGGAAAAATTATTAAATAGATTTGACTCATTATGTCATCTATGGTCTCAACTAATAACATTTTTTATCTCATTTTTTTCAAGATGAATATTCATCTCTTTCTCACGTGTAAATAAAAAACGAACAATTATTTAGAAATTATTTTAAAATTGATTGGCGTGATTCACTAAAATTATGAATGATATAGTGAATCAAGACCTTAAAATAATTTTTCGATTTGATATGCATTGTACAAATAGAAAAAAGAACATTAATAAAAATCTATAACATTAATTAAAGCAATCTTCAATGTACAATTATTAATATAACAAATCCAACATTTTATACGTTGCTTGAGTCATCTCGTAAGTTTAAACAATCCAAACACTTTATATATATTGTTGTTTTAATTATAGTGATATATGCTAATCTTGGGTTGGATTAGGGTAAAATAAAATAAAAATTTATTGTAATTTCACATAAGAATCTTTAATAGGGTTTGTTCATAAACTTTCTTTCGCTCAATATTTTAAAGTAATTTAAGATTTTTTACTTTAACTTATATGCATGATCAATTTTTTTTTATATAAATATCATCATAGTCCAAATGACATGTTAACATAGATAATATGTTTTCTATTTTTAAAGTAAATTACTTTAAAGAACACTAAAAATAAATATAATATTTATTTAAAAGTGAGAGAGTGCATGAATAGAGGCGGAAACACAGGGAACCAATAAAAAGAAAGAAAATAACTTCAGTGACCGAAAATGCCTTATAATATACGATTTTAACCAACTTTTTTTGGATTTGCGAAAATGAACAACAAATTCGCAACGCGAACTTCAATTTCGCAACTCAGTTTCCAAATTCGCAACGCGAATCTGTAAATCGCAACGAGAATCTGTAAATCGCGTTGCGATTTCCAAATTCTCAACACTGAATTTCAAATTCGTAACTCGATTTCTGAATTCGAAACGTGAATTTTGTTGTAGCAACTCGATTTTCTAATTCGCAACACGAATTTTAATTTCGCAACAGGTTTTAGTTTTGCAACACAAATGTTTTGGGTATATAACAACGCAACAGTAGCAACTCATAACCTAAATCCCTAAATCGCAACTCATTCCATCTTCATCTATCACTCTTTCCGGCGACATCCGTTCCTATATCCAACGACATCCTTTCCTATATCCAACGACATCATTCCCCATCTCTAATTTTTTTTACATAATGTTATTTATATATAATTTTTCAATGATTTCTCTCCCAAATTATCAACTATCAACTTAATAAAGGTATGTTTTTGTCTAAGTTAGTGATGATATGTAGTTTATAGCTCGTTTGTTTAGTAAATTAATTTACAATTTGTAGAATGAAATCATCTAATGTTGATCATGTTTGGATAGATTTGTGTTTTGGAGGGTCATGGGAGAATGTTCATGGTGTTTTACAATATATGTCTTTACCCATGAATCTTCAACTAAAACTGTCATTAAAAAATTTAACTTATGAAACTCTAATGTTACTTGTTTCAAAGAAATTGAATTTAGAGCCTCTAAGTGGATTTAGGCTATCTTATCAGAGAAAAGGTAAAGTTTATTTGTTAACCGACAATGAAGATGTTGAACGATTCATTGCTTACATTAGTGTTTCACAAGAAGATGATGTTACATTGTATGTTGTTGAACCTAGAAGTAGTGAAGTTGGGTCAATAGCGGGTAGTAATTAACTAAGTTCTTCAACCCCAGTTTATGGTGCTCACAATGTACAATGTTGTTATCAACCTCAAAATTTAATGGTTCCACCACAATTTCATCACCAAAAAAATTTTGTTTCACCATATTTCCAATACCAAACACAATCTCAAAACCCGCAACCTTTTCTTAATCCAAATCCCAATCAACTTTCAGCACCAAATTCAGGTTTTCGTATTGACCAATTAGACGATTATGAGCCAACAAAAAAATTGTGAGTACTAGTCAGTATTCGAAATTTGATCTTGGTCAATACCCAGACTTTGATCTTGGTCAATACTCAAATTTTGATGATGTTTCAGAAGAAGAAACAGACCCTGCGTCTTATGATTTTGATATTGGTCAATACCCGAATTTTTATGATGAAACAGCCTTTGCCGATGAAGATGTTGTTGATAATAATGAGGAGGAAGTTATGACTGTGAATGAACATGTTGAACATCCATTGTGTAATTCATATAACCCTGAAGAAGAAAAATAAGAAGAAGAAGTCCCCGACGAAAAGAAAAAGAAGAAAATGCCACGGGAGTATAACCGGAATATGCCAGAATTACTTCAGATACCGGAAGAAGAATTGGTAAAGATTGCAGTTGATTGTTACACAAAAGTTATTCGTATCAAGAAAGATGATTGTTTTGATACAAATGAAGACTTGAAGATAGCTTTGTATACGAAATGTGTGGAAGATGGCTATCAACTAAAAGTTAACAAATCAAGCAAAGATCGTTTCGAAACAAAGTGTATGATTGAAAAAAATTGTACGTGGCGTATGATTGCAAAGAGGATAAAAGATTGCGAAATGTTTCAAGTTAGGACTTTTATTGATAAACATACATGTTCAAGAACCCAAGTTTTTCCTCACCATAGACAGGCAAACAAAAAGGTGTTGGGTGGTTTTTTGGCTGAGTTAATTTTTTTGAATGACAGGGTATATCGGGGACATGAAATTATGACTGACATGAATGCTCAGTTTAAGATTAGTATCTCATATTCTCAAGGTTGAAGAGCAAAATGTTATGCCTTGGAATTGTTGAGGGGGTCTCCAGAAGCATCGTTTGCCCAACTGCCGGCTTATTGTAACAATTTAAAGCTGAAAAATCATGGTTCGATAACTCATATCAAAATAGATAGAGATGGACGCTTTGAGTTGCTGTTTATCGCCATTAGTGCTGCGGTTAGTAAATCAATATAATTTTGTTGACTCGTTTTTGTTAGTTACATGCATTTCACATTTAAATGATTATGTTTTGTGTATATTATTTTGTAGATTCGTTCGTTTATTACTTACATGCGCCCAGTTATTATAGTTGATGGAGCACATTTGAAAGGTTGATACCTTGGAGTAAACTTATTAGTAGTAGCCATGGATGCTAACAATTAGATACTAACAATGGAGTAAACAAAGGTCTGAAACCTCTGATTCATGGACATGGTTTATGGGACATCTTAGGGATTGCATAGGTCCTATTAGCAATCTGACAATCATATCCGATAGGGAAAACTCAATTGACAACGTTGTTAGAAGGTGTTTCCCAGATGCTTTTCATGGACTTTGTGGTGTTCAGATGCTTATCGGGCCGCTAAAAATAAATTAATACATAAATCAGTAAATAAATAAATAAATAATGCCAAAAAAAGTTATTTTCATTTTTAGTATAGTATTAAACAAACTTACCTCATTGTATAGAGTATGAACCTCATTCTGCAACGATGCAATAATCTCACGTAGAGCGGCTACCTCATCATGTAAAGTAGATACCTCACCACGTAAAGCACCATTGTCATCGCGTAAAACCTCTACCTCACCACGTAAAGACCGTACCTCATCACGCCATGTACCATTGTCTTCACGTAAAATACCGACCTCCTCACGCAAAGTATTGACCTCATCACGTAACTCCCCTAACTCATCCCGTGGAGGTGGAGAACATGGAGATAAATGTCGTGGCATCTTTGCTGGTCGCCTATCATGAGGTGATGGTGGAGAAGAGGCTCGATGATGTATTGAATAGGTGACGGCTCTCGTTGTGGAGGTGTATAATCGGCTCGATCAGGTGATGGCTCTGGGTGAGGTGATGGCTCTCGAAGTGGGGACTGCTCATCATCCGTGCCATCAAAAAAACGCTTACTAGCTTGCCACCAATCAGTGGCAAACTCAGCCTCTGTGGGTATCAGCCTCTGAAATGGATAGTTGGCCTCCTAACAATATAAAAGCTCAAACAAAGTTAAACGTCTACTAGTAATAACTTGTTTATATATGGTAGTATTTGTGTTAACTTACATCATTCATCATCTTATATGGTAGTAACTCTTCCCAATCCAACAGTCGGGTCCTCCTCCAGGAAATAGCCCTAGGAATATCATTTGAAGTTTTAATTGCATATGTCCGCATGCTAGGAAAAGCCTCAAATATCCAAATCTACAAACAATATAATACACAAACATTAGTAATTGTTAAATAATTAATTATAATTTTGGAAACATTATATAGAAATTCTTACCTTAAAGGCCCAAATAAAGTCTGCCAAAGTGTATTTGGAACCATGGCCATGCAAACTTTTTCGGTCCTCAAAGGCAGACGAAAACTTTTTCCAGGTAGCTTTCCATAGATATGAACCCCACAGAAACAGGTTCCATGAATTTAGGTCATCTACCAATAATATTAGGTCCTCAGAAATAGGCTGTCTGGCCTCTTTGCCTAAAAAGTCGGCATGCAAAAGTAATAAATGGCATACTCGGACAACATCGAGGTCATCCATCCGAGTAAAACCATCTTTAACAAATAATCTCTTCAAGTCGTCGACGTGTAAACTCGGCTTCGCCTTTACCAGCTCAGGAAAAACCCGAGATAACCATGATGGGCAGGCGATATGACTAGTGTACCGACCTACATCATCGTGTCCGAAGCGTAGACCAGTGATTAAGCAAAACTCCTCCCGCCCAAAACAAGTATACGCAGGAGGAAAATGAAACCATATCTCTTCATCACCACGTTGTATCCTCTCGGGTAGATCGTTAGTCATGGTCTGAAGAAACAAATGGGTCAACATAGCATCTCCACTCGGATGTTGTACTTTCAGCCATGACCCGAAGCAAGTATCCTCAAACAATTTTCTTTGTACAGATGTAAGTGTCGATGCAATTGTAGTGGCTAGGCTTAATTTATTCCTTAAAGTTAATGAAGCCGAAAAAAATTTCTACAAAAACAATAAATATACCAAGTTAGATATACCAAAAACTACAAATTATACACTATAAACAGACATGATATTAAATAGTGAAAACAAAGCCAAATATGTTTCAAACTTGCACGGTATTCACCCAAGTCATTATTCTATCATAGTTCACAAAATGCATCAGATAACATTGTGAAGTTAGTATTTGTCTTTGTTTTTTGGTTGAAGTAATGCAATTCATTAAAGTTTCAATTTACAGAAGAAGAATAGTTTCTGAAACTTAAAATCGCAATGCGATTTTCAGTTTTGCGTTGCGATTTTCATTTTCGTGTTGCGAATTTAAGTTTCAAATAGTCTTCTGCAAATTGAAACTTGAATGAATTGCATTACTTCAACCAAAAGACAAAACAAAGACAAATACTAACTTCACAGGGTTAAAGACTAAACAGTTTAGCAGTATTGGCAGCAACCGAATGAATTTACTAAGCAATCTAAGTGAAATGGTTAATCTATTACTGAAATTACCAGTAAATTTATCATCAATTTAAATATGAAAAATCTAATAATAATACAAAACTTTAAAAATAAAAATAATTGAAAAACTAACCCTCGGTGGTTGATTTTTCATTTCTGACCGTGAACGGTTGCGAGGGTGGCTCTGAGAGATGGAGATAGACGGATTTCGCCGGAGATGGGGACGGATTTCGTCGGAGATGGGGACAGATGTCGCCGTAAAGAGTGAGAGATGGAGATGGGACTGAGTTGTGATTTAGGGTTTTAGGTTATGATTTACGATTATACTGTTTAAATTTGTGTTGCGAAATAAATATTGTGTTTCGAATTCGAAAATAAAATTTGCGTTGCGAAAATAAACGCGCTTTGCGAATTTGACTTATGTGTTGCGATTTACATATTCGCGTTGCGAATTTGGAAAATCGCAACGCGAATTTGGAAAATCGCAACGCGAATTTGGAAAATCGTTTTACAAATTCGCGTTGCGAATTTGGAAACTGAGTTGTGAAATT